GATTGTGGCACAAGATTATGTAGGTGCCTGCGGCCCATGTAAGCATGATCTAGCTGTTCGTAAATGTTGTCAACGTCACGGCTATGTGGAAGGAGTTTGTCAAGATGGTCGATTTCCTCTATGTTTAAAATGAAAATTGAAAAATTGTGTGCCTTTTCATTCTACTACACATCTTTTTCTTATAGAAATCTGCATAAAATTGTAGTTCTCAAATAATCATAATAAAATTATTTCTCATTCATCTTTCTCATAACCATGATTTCACTTGTACTTGTGGTAGTAATTGGATACTTAAATGCATATGTACGAAGTAATTTATAAGATTCTCTTTAATTCAACAAAACTCTTCTGTTAATGTTTTCATATATGTTGTATGCTAATCATACATTTCAGAGGTATTTCTTAATTCTAGGTATTAGTAATTAATTAGAAATTTGATGACTAAGATCATTCGTTACCATTAAAGCACGAATGAGAGAGATTATGTTGTTTTGCCGTTATAATTTTAACGACGTAGCTTTTAATATCTATTAATTCGAATGAAACATTGTTATACGTGCAAAGCAAATAAATTTTGAATACTAGAGATGGATACACATTGCTGTTGCTCGCCAACAATTTTAACATAAATCTATATTCTATAACAACTACATTGATAATGTATTATCACGAAAAAAAAATAAACAAATCTTTTATACTCATACTAGATGTTAAGACTTTGAAAGGCATTGCAAAAGCTTATCTACCTATACATATATCACTTTCATTGCATGGAAACTTTTATCATACAGTATCGAACTAATATTTTCCTTCTTTACTACAATAAAATATATACGAGATTCCTCTCTAAAGATGTTGGAATATTTATCTATTTCAGTCGCTATTCTGATCAATTTGGTAGATGTGACTCTTACTGTCGTGTTATGCCGGCCTCAGAGTGATTGCATAAACGATAAACAATCTAATGGTCTTTATTTTATTAAAAAAATGATAAAAAAGGGCCTATATGTATCATATAAAATTTTAGCTGAATATTCACTCGAAGAAAGTGAAAAACCTTCACCACCATTCGAATAAATCCCCAAAACCCCAACCATGAATATCATTTTGACTTTTCTTCTCGGTGGTCTTTGGACGAACAAAGTTGACACATGGTCGATTCGTATCACAATCATGATCATTACTACATCTTTTCCATTCATGCTGTGCACTGGTACTGTCTATATATTGAGTATAACACTATGATATGCCATCATTGTTTCGTCTTTCTTTGACGTAAGACCAGCAATAATCGTTGTAACAGCCACATTGTCTTCCATTGCAGTCACCAGCAATTGTCTCTTTCATTAGCATTAACAAAACGACCAGGACAGTGGTTAAGAATAAAGGAAAATCAAATTTGAATATCATGGTTGTATTAAAGTTCTTTCAATAAAAAAAAATAGTTGATTTACTGACTATATAGAATATAAAATAAAAGATTAATAGTTTTTTACATACTTGATTATCTGTTTGCAAGAGATAATAATAGTTAATGAATCAACTATACACATTGATTTCAGCTTTTATATTGAAAAATCTTTGATTGATAAAATACTCTCCCATATTACAACGATTTTTATCATCATGATTCATGAATGTATGGGACTTTTTTTATTCTTGACAACATGTATCGAGAAGAAGAGAACGCAAGATAGGATGGGAGAAAAATTGACCTTTTTGTTTTCTTCTCATAATCAACCAGAAGCTATTCTCTACATTACATCTTGAAGGTAGGTAAATATGCATTGAAATACGTACGTGTTTTTCTTTAACATTTAGAAAATCTAATATCATGTAAAATAGTGCAAGGCATAAAGTCAAATTTGACAAGTAATTATTCAGATATTTCGTAAGTCTTTAATAAATTCTTTATAAGTATCAAAAATTTTAAAATTCATTTTATTTAAAATTCTGGATAAATGACTTATGTTCCAAAAAAAGAAGAGGAAAAGAAAAAGCATTCAAATCAATAATTAAAATACGAATGATATTTTCAAGCATATACGTCACTTTGATAAGAGTGTGAGTGTGGTATTCATTTTATATTTATATTTATACCCACATCCACACCCATCGTATATTTAATACACTTCATCAACATATTTTAATATTTATTTATCTTTTGAAAACAAAATTCGATAATTTTTTATGCATGACATTCACTTTAAATTTATTTGATACAAATCTAAATAATTGAGAAAAGTAAATAATGACTTGTTACAGTCTCTGATCATTTAATTCTATAAAAAGCAATCTACTGATTTCAAATTGGATTCTTGATTTAAACAAAAAGATGTAAGATTGTTTTAAAATTTCACTCTTGACCATAGTAATATTTACATATAAAATAAATCTATTGAATTAAAAATCTTGAGGGTGTAAATGTTATAATTATCCGTTACCTACATTCACACCCACCCTCAACAAGCTTATTTTATAATAAATCCTGGTCAAATCAATTAGAAATATATCCGTTTCAGTTAGTTTTATTAAGTAAAGACAAATTACAAAAGCTGCAGCATAAATATACAATGCAAAATTTGCAAACAACAAATAATTAGTAAAATATAATATATAAGAATGCTCAATAGATTTAGAAGCTTAGCAATAATTTTAATTATATATATATATATATATATCAAGCGTATTTTGCAGCGTTACATCATCAGTGATATCATCTAATGAGAAAAATTAAGTAGAATTCCTCAATAGGTATATCTAAGAGAACACAAAATAAGAAAAAACTACAAGTTTGAAACTCCCAGTATCATCTGAGTACTTTTTAGTGATAAAACTTAGAAGTAGTGCTTATATAAATTTGAAGGTAATATAAGTTCTGAGGTTATATAACTAGTAGCGATAATTAAATACTTTCAGTTAACCTTTTTTTAGTAGGAAAATTAACTAAAAATATTTAATTGTATTTTCAATCTCAGAGCTTATATCACCTTCAAATTATATAAGAGTAGTATAGCACTTACTCTCTTGTAGTTATTCTCGTATGCAGATAAATGTCAATTATATTCTGTTGTTGAAATAAGTCTAACTAATGTCCAATAAATGTATCATTGTTGTTGAGTAATTTAAAAGCAAATTAAAATTTTTTTAATTAATTTAACAAGATAAGGTACGATAAAGTAAATGACAATTGGTAAACTACCATATACACCCAAAAATATTGTTAATATTTCTAATGCATCAGATTTTTGATAATATGTATAAGTACAATAACTTGGAGAGCAACTATCAAAATATCTTTCATAGGATATTTTACGAGACCATGATTCGATAAACATTTCATATGCTAGTTTTTCAACAGTGTCAGCCACAGAGAATCGTGTTCTTTGCGCATTCAATCCGATAGATTGATTCGACATTACCGATGTTGTGTAAAAAGATTTTCGAAGGATGTTAATGCAGTCGACCAAATAGAAACAAGTTAAAGATGAGAAAAGTAGTGTTTCAAGTTGATGACAACCAACGACTAAACCATCAATAGTAATCAAACCACTACCTATATTTACTTGTCGTGGTTTTCGACATGTTCGTAAAGTAGCACATGAACAACTTGTATTCTCTTGTGTATTGCGAAGCGTAATAGGCACAGTGAGGAAATTAGTATCGCTTTTATCATCTGTTTCAACTGCAACTAATCTCCAAGCGTCTGAAGATATATATAGTAAAGCATTTCCTTGGATAGTCGAACGAATAAAGTCTAACATATGCGCGAATGTAGCTTTTGTTTTATTTTCGAATTGATTTAGTATTTCATCCATTTCAGTGTTAAATAGACTGCGAGACATTAGTTGATTAGTAAACAAAGTTGAGATAAGAAATACATCAATATTATTGTTAGCATTATCTTTTGCCAAAGAACAAAGTTGCTCCAAGGATTCCATGAAAGATTTCCCCCAAAGTAAGTAATCTTCACCGTAGCTCGTGAATCCACCTGTATCTGTTGTTAAACCTGCAAATATAATTATTCGAATACTCTTAAAAAAATTTCTATTTAGGTCTTTTAAAGTTTAGCTAATCAAATTTGCTTTTTCATTACCGTGAAAAATTTTATAAAAATTAGAAGTTTTCTCCTATTTGATTTTCTTCGAAATAAGTATAATTCATATTAGATTTGTTGAAACTTTATCAAAAAAAGAAACCATTTTTCAATCGGAAAGTCTTGAATATTTATTTTGTTAACTGATTAAATTTTAGAAAGACAAATAAGAAAACTAACACCTTTGTACTTACCGTTTACCAATAACATGCGTACTCGGTTAATATCACATGCTTCATGAAATGAATTGACTTGTAATTCAGTGATAAATTTTTCATAAGGAATTGATGTATGTGTGCATGGACAACTAATATCATCTGAATAGAGGCTTAATAATTGTTCATATTCATTAAACGAATGTAAGAAATGTGTTTTACTAATACGACGTTCAATCCGAATTGTATAAAAGAGTACAGTACTGAGTAAAACTATGTAAAGAAATAGATAAACTCTTGTATATATTTTTTGTTGACGAATACGAGTGTTATCAGTTGATTCTGTTTCGTAGATGTTGAAATTTTTAATTTTATCATAAATATTACGTGAAAAGTTTCTTGAACGAACACCGATTGAAGATGATCCTAGAATGAATTATATATGAAATGAGATCAATATATTTTTTGTTTTGAATAGTACTTCAAATAACTTGGTTCTGTGAGTCATAACATTCCTGACTGAATAATCTGAGGAGAATTATGAAAATTATATCAGTTACACATTCATAATCATCTTCAAATTTGGGCTTACATTCTCAATTTGGTTCTTTCGACTAATTTCTTTTTCAGTAAAATTCTTTCCTCGAAAAAAGACTTGCGAATGAACGTAGTTAACTGTCTTTACTTTACTTCTACGATTCTAGTGCTGTCAATAACTCATATTCAACTACCACATTATTATATCTCAATTGTAAGAGGCAAAAAAATGATCTAATTAATATTGAATTTTGAAGTTGATTAGTTTTAAAGAGAAATGCATACTTATAGTGCTAATTGATGTGTATTTATACAGTTATTATAATTTTAATTGAATTATTTCTTTGAAAACTAACTCTATCTATATCTTATCTCGTTGAGTATTTCAATATTTTCTCTAATCAAAACAAATAAAAATGATTTACCAATTAGTGGAACAAGTAGTCGAAGACCTTGGTTCAAACCACTGCAAATCGAAATAAGAAGAAATATTATCACGATATAAGTGCGACGTTGAACAACGGTATATGAGCAAAAACTAGGTTTACATGCTTTATAAAATCTATCGTAATATACATTTTTGGTTGTTTTTTCAAGTAGCATTTCACGAAGTAAATCCTCCGTATTGATATCGCCAAATCGAGTCGATATAGATGCATTAAGAGGTTTGATATTTGGTGAAGGTCGAGCATGAATAACCATGGAATAAGTTGCTTGAATATGTTTCATATATGTAATATTGTACCACCATGCTGTTCTTGACATGAGAAACCCACTTAAAGGTGAACAACCAAGATATAATATTTTAAATAATAAATCTCTATAAATATTGTCAAGATATGATGTATTCATATATAATACAGGGATTGCATAGCAGGAATCAGGATCTGATCCACAAGTGCAGTGGCGCACAAACTGTGGAGAGCCGTCTGATGCGAAAATTATTATACGATATTCACAAAATTCAGCAATCACTTGACCATCATTGCTTTTATTTATAAGAACGTTTGTATTCAGTCCATTGTAAAGAGGACTATAAAGAAAAATAAGTTTCATCCAATTAAATGTTTGTACAAAATCATATTTTGTTGTACGAATAAATGAAGTTATCATAGCTTCAGTTTGTTGAAGAAAACTTGAATTAGGTGGAACACGATCATTAATAAATTCAGTATTCATAAATACATGCTGTGCCTCTTCAATGTTTGTTTTAGCTAATGAACAAAAAGCAGCTAAAAGTTGAAAATAAGAAACACCCATTTTACGAAAATCTTCAGTATGTTTGAAGTTAATATCGAGCGGCAGGTGAGTCGGATCAAAAGATATCAGATAATGTAACCATTCTAATGAAACCAGATCACTTGAACAAACTTGGTGTAATTCAAATGTTACATCAAGAAAAACTTCATTGGGAATGGATATTTGTGAACAAGGACAGTGTAATGTGGTCGGATAATCATTATATAATTTTTCATAAGTATCAAGAGATGGATATGGAATTGTTATCACTTGATTTTGCTCTACAACAAAGGTGTATACTCCAGCAACAATTGATAAAATAACAATGAAAAAAATGAAAAATCTTGTTAGGAGTTGTTCTCGATAAATGTTCGTAGGTGTACGATGTGTTTGTTTTTCAAAAAGATTTAAAGATATTATTGCTTGCCATGATTTATTTAATAAAAGTCGAATGCGAATTTGTATACTTTGCTCTGAAAAGAAAACGAATGATAAATTCTTTTATCAAAATACAATACTTCTTATGTCTAAATATTCAAAACAAATCATTAAACTGATAGAAGATGCGTGATTCGAGTCATCAAACATACAGTACATCACAAACCATTCGGCTATCTACCACGATAGTTTTAAATGTAAACTGAATATTAGGTTCACATCCATCTCCTCACTCAGTTTTAAAAATAGAAGTTTCTACTGGTTGTAAATTAATACATCGATCGATTACTCGACTTTATCTCTTATTTATACTGTTAGCCACTGTCAAGTTCCGAAAAGTCTATTCTAACTTACCTCGATTTTGTTCCATAGACGTTATAGTTGATACATTTTCCATTGGTAAAATTCGATTTTTTCGTCGTAAAATCTTTGTTGCAACAAAAGATGAAATGTGTCGTATGATGAATGGCAATATAACAATAGAGCCAGTAACAGCCATGAAAATAAGAAAAATGTCAAAACGTCTTGTATGTGAATATGAGCAAAAAAGACAGTCACATTCTGAAAAATATTTATCAAATCGAATTTCAGTTATTGTTTCATCTATCATTAATTCATTGAAGATTAATTGTACTGTTGAATACATAGAAAAATATTTATTCGATGTTTTTGATAATGGTTTAATAGTCATCGATAATTGTCCATGTAAAATTGAAATACATGATTGATCATAATAACATTCAAGTGATGAGGCAAGTGTACCATCAACAATTAAACAATCTACTATCATTCCTGGTACATTAATTAAATGACCATAACTATCATTAAATGTAGCAGATCGTGGACAACCTTCAATATTTAAACAAGTACAAGTACCAAATGTTCGAGCTGTCATTTTTGGAGATTTCGATGGATTTACATCTGCTGGTGGATAACGTAAATAGAAATTTGTTTGTAAAGCTGATACAACTTGATTTTCACGTGTTATACGTTGAAGAGCAAGTAAATTACGAGTTGCTATTTTTTTCGATAGATCTATTTGATTTCGAAGAGCGTTTTCAGCCTGAATTCGAATAACTTGTTCAGCAACTACTGTAGGAGTGATAAAACTTGTGCTTCCAAAATTTGCAAGAACATCATTCCAACTTTTGCCACTTGCGATACATAAACCAGCAATTGTTTGCCAGAAAAAACTAAGAGTAATACGAACATCATCGATAGATTCGATTGAAATATCTTTATTTGTAAATAATTGCTCAATCCATGTCTGTTGGATAAATTCACTTGAACAAACTTGATGAAAATTAACTTTAGTAGTGACGAATTTATCATAGTTTGTTGAAGATTTTGAACATGGGCAATGAAGAGTATCCGGATAATCACGAGTTAATTGTGAAAATTTCTCGTGTGAAGGTTTATATTCAATTTTGTCAACAGGTTGAACGATAAGTGCAACAAAAGTGGTAATGAGAGATAAACATATAATTAATGCAATCAAATAAATACGAGTAGAAAGAAGTTCTTTTTCAAGAGTATATTCATTACTTGAATGTTTTTTGAATAGATTCGATTCGAGAAATTTTTGCCATATACGTTTCAGTAAATTGCGTACCATTTTAAGACTCTCACCTGCGATAAAAAAAAATAATGGAATGACTTTTTCACCTATAACTCCCAGATTTATATCCAAGAAAAATGATGAATGACGCACATGTTTTATTTTAAACTTTGTTGTTCATCGATCATTGCTAAGAAAAATGATTGATGTGAAAGGAGTTTTATTTTGAAAATATAAGAAAATAATAAAATTGCTTTATCTTTATTTGCAGTGAATGATTGATTAGTTCTGAATTACTTTACATATATTTTGAAAAACATTTAATAAAAAAATCTTTCACAAAAAAACGTAAATACGTTGAATATGTAATGAATTTATTATATATTAAATTCGATGAGTGAAAACAATTTATTACTAAGTAAAGATGGTTAAGACATAAGAAGAGTTGTCACTTGATGCTGTGATGTGTACATTTCTTTTTATTAGTACTGATATAGCGTCATAACATACGTACAAATTTTTTTTTATTTTTCTCGTTATGACGTCGTTTATATTGATCTTCACTGTTTTCCAGAGATTTCTTCTATTTTCATTAATAATAATTTGATCGTTACTTGTATTTAATCTATATTTCAACAATACAATCATTTCTTATGTCAGTAATAAAAATACTACTAGGATAGTTACGCTAGTTTATTTCATTTTGTCTCCATTCAAAATCAATATGAATTAACATCGAAAAGTTTTTCATTCAATTCTATTATCTTCACCTTTTCGACAAGGATATATCTATTATTCTTGATATTGATAATATGATAATTATTTTTAATGACACTAATCAAATTCATCATACCATATTTTTTGATTTAATTAGAATTAGTAAATGGAAGCGTCATTAGTTATAAAAGATGTAAAGACATTTCTATTTGCGAGATATTTTTACCTAATAAAGATGAGTGCAATATGAGTGGGTTTTCTTTAAATAATATCATTCAATGTCAAAACTGAATCCAACGCATTATTTGTTATATGAAATAAAAATTTATCAAATCTATAACTATAAAACATCCATCATTTTTCTTTTTGTATTTCAAGAACATTTATTTTCTAAAATAGAAATATTTTCTTAAAAAAATCATCAATCCTCCTTCTTAATACGTCATAGACGAGTTTGAAATATCAGGTATTTATGACTATTATAAAGATGATCATGTGAATTAAACTACGCATTTGATAAAACTCTTTCCTATATTATTTGAGACCAAACTCAACTGAAAATGATGGATGAACACCGAGAAAATGTAAAAACACAGTCAGTGTGTGACAAAGAAGTTTTTTCTCAATGTGAGGAGGTGGATAAAATATAATTATAACATCTATCACCATCATATATATACAGACTAAAGAATATAACATAATAGAAGACTATTTAAGTTAAGGATTAAACATGTGTCAGAAGTGCTATTATCTAACACATCTAGTTGTAACTCATGCTTCATTTAATTTGGCTGAACTATATATTAATATTGAAGAATATGATATTCCTGTTGGAATTAATAAAAAAAAAAACAGTTCAAACTCAAGTAGAAAAATTACCCTCAAATAACATTTTCATAACTCTTAGTCATAATAGAATTGAATTCGCTTATGGTAAACTAAATAACATCTGACGAAAAGCAGTAATATATATAAGAACGATAAATAACAATAAAATGTATTTTAAAAAAAAATTTTTTTGTCCTCTTAAATTGATAAAATACATATTAAAAGTTCTACTACATAGATAGAGTAAAATTAACGTGGAGGACCAAATATATTTGGACGCACGGGTCCTGGGGGAAATTTTGGTGGCATTGGACCTTTAGGTGGTCCTGAAGTATGATGATCAGATGAGGTTGAATGAGAACTTGTTTCACGAGTATTATTTTCTTGAGATGTTGCATTTTTTCCACGTGACGATCCTAGTAGAGGATAATCTGATTCCACTTCTTTCATTTGAATAATAAAAAGACCGTTTCCAGAATCGAGACATGAAACAACTTTAAATTTTCGTGCAGCAACTAATAAGATTTCATCTTCAGTCGGAAAAAATGAATGTTGTTGAATATTTTTACCAGATTCACAATCAATATTGAAAAGAGTTCTATCTCCTGTTTTTCCAAGAAATTGTTCCGATTGAAGCACTTGTACTGAATTTGTACATGATGAAAATCCCCACCAAGTAAATATTTGTCCTTGTGGATATTGTGCACTTAAATCCATTTTTACTCCTCGATAAATAGTTTGATTAACTGATGGGAGTTTTTCAAGGGAAGAAATAAAAAGTTTTAAATAAAGTTGCCATGGTTTTAATTTTTCTTTATCTTCAGCTCGTAGAGTATTATTTAATATAATATAAAAAGAATTTTCTCTTGGTTCCCATTCTAATGAATACAACATGATTGAAGCAGATTCGTTCGTTGTTAAACCATCTTTTGGTTTATCACATTTCTCTTTTGCTTTAGATACCATCTCTTTGACATTGGGAACAAGTGAAACTAATGACTCAACTGCTTCTTCAAGTGAAACAACCGGTATATCATCAAAATTTTCGATTGGTTTTCTCATTTCTTGTGATGGTGCTAATTCATCTAGTATCCGACGAGCATGTTGTGGTTCAAAATCTCTTAAAAACCTTGCAGCCATTTTAAAACGTAGTTAAATGAGCAAAATTCTATAAAAAGAAACTGAATAAAAATATGAACTAATATCGATTATTTATTTTAAAGATTCAAATGAATTTTGATATACACTTTAAAATTTATTTCTAGTACATGAAAAAACGATATTCTATTTATTGCATACCTGTTTTGTGTATATTCGAAAAAAGTAATAAAAACAAAGAAAGAACATTTATGTTTTGTGTTTACACCCTACCTTTTTTTACGACGAAGAAAAACAAAATGATACGAATCGTTACACTTATTTTTTCATATCTTTTTATATCACATGACTGATCGTATAAGTATTACTGTATTCAGATGCTTGTGACACATTATAAAGTAATACATTGAGAAAAAAAATAAAATAAAATAATATTTTCTTCGATATAAAAGTCTTTAAATATATAATACAACACTGTTTTATTTCTTACGTGTGGCATAGATAATCATCTATAAATAAGCTTCCTATTTAATTTATTGAAACGATAACGATAATAAATATTCAATAACTAATAGCTTGTAACCGAGAGCAAAGACTGTCTATGAATTATTTAGTTGATTTTGAATTGCTTTTGCTGCTCTTTGTCCACTTGTAAATGCTGTATGAACACAAGCATAACACCAATTTTCACTACCATCATTACTATTAGCATGTTCACCTGCCCAATGAACTCGACCATCAGCGGTCTCTTTCGCTAAATCTGCAATTGTTTGTGGATTTGAGTGTACAGCAAAATTTGAATATGAACCATAAGCTAATGGATCTTGCGACCAACGACTGAATTTATATCGAATCGGATTTGGTACGGTTCGTTTAGGAAATATATTTTGAAGAAAAGTCATAATCTCTAAAAGTATTTCATTATCAGTTAATGTTTCAAGTTCTTTTGCAAATGTTCCAGTGACGAAAAAAATTAGTATATTTGATGGTGGCGGTAAACAGATAGTAAAACGAAATCGACCACGACGTACAGTGCATGCATGAATAATAGTTCGTGTTGAAGAACCCCAAAAACAATCAGGAAATTGTACAACTAACTTATTCATTAAACCATAACCCATAAGATCGATTGCTTCACGTTTCCATTCTGGTAGTGGTGGTTCGAAAATAATCGTATTACGTTTTAAACAACCTAATGGAATAGTGATGATAATACGATGACATAGTAGTGCTGATGAACTATCTGAAGTAGTGATAGCAATTCGAGTAGTATCACTCGTATCAATATGTGTAACGAGAGTATTTAATCGTATTGGTATATTATGTTCTTTACAAATACGCTGTAGTAATGTTCCATAACCACAGGAAACCCAACGATCACCTCCTGGCGCACCACCTGTTTCCCAACATTTAGCTGATAAATTATTGAGATTGGATCCTTCATATTGTTCCATACCAGACCGAGAAAGATCAACAATTCGTTTTACTTGTTCATCAGATTCGATTAATTGCTCATAGACTGTTTGAATAACTTGCTCAATACTTTGATCATCACTGTTACAGTTGTTACCAGCAAACTCATCTAAACGATCGTATAATCTTGATAATACTAATTTTGCACGTTGACGAGCATGTGGTAATAGTGGTCGACCATTATAATCAATAATTAATGCATCACCGCCCTCATCGTCATAATCAAATTGATCATCTTTTCCTAATCTTTGATAATAATCATACAATGGATTTCTTGAACCAAAGGAATGAATCCAACTAGCACCTAAATCGACTGGTGTAGAAATAAATGTTTCTCGATCAGTAAATGCTCGACCACCAATATAATTCCGAGCTTCTAATACAACAAAAGATAAATTTGTCTTCTGTAATTCGATAGCAGCTGCAATACCCGCAGCACCTGCTCCCACAATAACAACATCAAAATCCATAGTCATCACCTTCAAACAATTTTTTAAAAACATTTTCTAATATTTACGAATGAGAACAACATCTATGTTAAAACATACTGTAATTACACAACAAAACAAACCGAGCGACATCACTTGCATGAGTCATATATTGCATAAGTATTACAAAATTATTCGAGATAGTATTGATATGATGTAGTCTGTTTAGTCAAAAGAATATAATATAAACATAAATAGATGCATAATTTTTATGATAAGAAATAACCAATAGAATAGATTGATGGAAAAATGACTATGATGAATATGGGCATGAAAATGAACGAATTCAGATGAGTCGTCAATAATATTCACAGAGGTCGTAGCAGCATATGTTCGAAAATCAGGAATTGTAAAATTTGTTTTTACAATCAAATCTACACAAAAACGGATAAAGCAATCACACAATTAGTTAGAATTACATATATGAAATCATCAGCAAAAGTGAGAAGATAAATGAACTTTTTATTTCTAATAAAAAAAATTAAGTCATCAATTATTGGATTTTATTACATGATATTTATTTTACTTTGTAGCTTTGCTTAATTTTTGAAGTATAAATGATGAAGTAATTAATTAAGAAAATATAGAAATTTGTCCCAGCATTAGAGTAGAACTGTCCCACAGGAATATTTGTCTTATTCCCATACAGTGTTCTCTTTCCCATATGACATCGATGATAAAGAACATATTCCATGTGCTACGAATGACTCATCCTATGGGAAGCTCTAGGAAACATACATTCTTTATTTCCCATATTACTGTCTTTGTAGTCTTCATAGTATAAACATAAATCAAATATTAGACAGCAAGTCATATCTTTCAATATTACATTTCGATTTTAGCAAATGTCATTTCATTCACCGAATCCGAGTCCACTGATAAATGCTAGTGCATGGTCACGCTTTTTTCATAGGTATGTCTTTATACTGTGCATGTTGCAGTTCGAAATATTTGTATTATTTTTTTTTTTGGTGCATTAGTTGGATATCATACATTTTGAAGAAAAGTCGTAAACAGGGTACACTTCATCCTTCCGATCTGTATGATATTCCTTCACATCTTGAATCAGCAAAAGTTACTGAACAACTCGAAACAAGTTGGTTCAATGAAATAAAACGATCTCCTCAGAATCCGAGTTTAATTAGAGCAACTATATATGCTATGAGATGGACACCACTTCTTATTGGCTTTCTTCTTATTCCAATGGTAAATATCTTCTACTTATTATTTCAGTGAATTTTTAGAATAAATCTAAATTTAGTCATTATGTCATGTCATCCAACCATTGTTAATCATCATTCTGATGGATTTCTTTCAAGAATGTTCAAGAATGTCAATCAGAATGGTTTGGCTTTTAGGAATTGCAAATATTCTAATTACCATATGTTCGAGTCTTCTAATGCATCAGGTAGCAATTCTTTTTATTTGTCGTAATTTGGTCAAGAATAAACTTCATTGTAGTATATTTATCGAACTGGTATTCATGCTATGAAAATGCGCATTGCATATAGTGGTCTTATCTTTGGAAAAGTAAAGGCAGTATTTAATTCATTGATGATGGCATCAAACTAACTTCTAGATACTTCGTCTTTCAAATGATTCTGTCAATACTATTGGTGCGGGTAATATTATTAATCGGATAAGCAACGATTCTGGACAGATCGAAATGGCGTTGTATTTTATCAATTATATTTGGGTATGTTTATACACGTACAATTTACAATCGATAGGAGATCACGACTTTTTAATATTGTAGCTTACTCCATTTCAAATAATTCTGGTCATAATCTTCTTTTGGAAATTTATTCGATACATGGTATTTATTGCCGTCGGTTATGCATTTGCATTGTTATTTGTTCAAGCACTTTGTAGTCGTCTTATTCTACACTTTCGGTAAGATACTATATGGATCGTTTTGTCATTCATTTTTCTTTCATTTAATCATAGAACTCGAATTTTGAAAGTAACCGACGAACGAGTAAAGACTATAACTGAAATTATTAAGTCTATACGATTTGTTAAAATGAACTGTTTTGAATCAGCATTCAATAACAAAGTACAATCGATAAGAAAGTATGTGTTTGCATTTGATTAGTGACGAGAAAAGTAAATTTTTCTATTGTATAACAGACGTGAAATGATCCAATATATGTTCCGTGTAATACTCGATTGTGTTCAAACTCTTCTATCGCATACATACATTAACATAACATTTCTAATAATCTACACAATATTATGGTCGTTTGATATACGATTTGACACACGTTTTTTTGCAGTTACTATGTGTATGCTCAATCTTATTCGATCAAGTACTGTTCATTTCTTTACGACTGCCATTCGTTGTCTTGTGTTGTATTTAGCTGCTCAAAGACGTATCAAGGTTATAATTTTTTGAATGAATTTTCTTTCTTTCTCTTATACAGAACTATATTTTCAGACATTTCTTTTATTATCTGAATTCAAGAGTAAGAATGATTCAATATTCGCATCGAAAGTGTCAGAAAAGACAATGATTGAAGATCAATCACTACAATTGATATGTAATGTAATACGAGCACAATGGGAAAAGGTAATTGATTTAATTGTATAGATATCCTGTATCAATGTACGTTTAATTCTTTAGAATGCGTCATTTTGTCTTCGAGATATCACATTCAATGCTAATCCAGGTGATTTGATCTGTGTCATTGGACCTGTTGGTTCTGGAAAGGTTGATTGTTTACACCTAAATACAAATATATACTTTAATGTCTATTTACTTCTAGAGCTCTCTTCTGCAAATACTTTCTGGCGAAATGACTTCCTTCGATGGAAACGTTCAGCTGTGCGGCTCATTATGTTATGTACCTCAAGAATCTTGTAAGTATTCGTGAATGCAAGATATAAACTTATGCAAATGAATGACTGAAATTCAGGGTTATTTCCATCGAGCATCAAAGAAAATATTTTATTTGGTAAAGCGTATGATCCGAAATTATTTCAACGTGTCATTCATGCGACTGCGTTAAAACATGTAAGCGAGAGTTTTTTTTAATCTATATTGTAATTAGTGTCTGATATGATCACACAGGATCTTTCTCAATGGTCAGATAATCTCAACACTCTTGTTGGTGATCAAGGCTCGACATTATCTGGCGTAAACATCTTACTTTAAAGTAAAATTATACACAACCAAGTGTATATCTCTAATTTAGGGTCAAAAAGCTCGTATAAACATGGCACGTGCATTGTATCGAGATGCTGATATCTATTTATTGGATGATCCACTTTCGGCTGTCGATGTTAAAGTATCAAAGTATCTATTTGAAAAGTACGTATAGATGGTTGTCAGCTAAATAAAATATATCGAAGAGTGAGAATATCTAACATTGCTTTTTGTAGATCAATCAAGCAATTTCTTGGAAATAAAATATGTATTCTAGCTACACATCAAGTGCAATTCTTACAAGAAGCTACAACAATTATCATATTAAATAATGTATGATTGAAAATATCAGATGAAGTAATCGGTAGTTTATAATTTAGAACGGTGAAGCAGAAATTGGTTCTTATGATCAACTACTTAGTTCTTCATCTTCATTTGCTAGTTTTCTGAAAGATATTCGTCAGCATAAACTAGAGGATGAACAGGATTCAACAGGCACTCAAGAACAGCTAACGATGGATGATTCTGTCACTTCAGAATGTGTCGATGAAAAAAGCACGTTTATACCTTCGACAGATAAAGAAACTAAGCAAGAAGGCACAATCAAATCCAATGTTTATCTTTCTTATTTTCGAACTGGTCTTGGCTTTTTCGGCAATTTTGTTTTGATCTTAGTTATCTGTACGGGACGAGAAATGATTTCTATTTTCAGCGATCGCTGCTTGGCAATGTGGAGTGATGATGAAAGTCATCGTTATCAACCATTTGGAAACTGTACAAATGTAACAAAAAACTCAATACATTTGAAAACTAATACCGAATGGAATAATTACCGAGCTCAATATTTCTATATTTATTGTGGTAGTGTACTTATCCTTTTTGTTGCCAGTTTATTTCGCGTTGTAATTACTGAGTTTATTTGTTTAAATGCGGGACGAATTCTTCATGACAAGTAATTATTTTCATGTTTATCGAACTATTTCGTTCTATCTTTAATTATGAACAGAATGTTTTCTCAAATTCTACGATGTCCAATTTCATTCTTTGACATAAATCCTATTGGTAAGAATCTTATTTTTCACTATTTTTATCATATACCTTGTTATACAAAGGTCGAATAATAAATCGTTTTACACACGATGTTGCCATAATGGATGATTATCTTCCAATTAGTTCATTTGATTTGCTGCAAGTAAGTCAATTTCTTTCAGAATGCTGTTTTATACTTCTCTGGGTTTTACAGTATTTATTCAAAGCTATTGGTATCATTATATTAATTGCATGGATTAATCCATGGTCATTGATTCCAGCAATGATAACCATTGCTGGTATAGTTTACATTCGTCATTATTATGCTCGATGTTTGCGTGATGTTAAACGCATTGAATGTACTTCACGTAGTCCTATCGGATCATGTTTAACATCAACTATTCAAGGACTCAAAGTCATCCGATCGTATCATGCTGAACAAATATGTGCAAATAAATTTTTTACTGCTTATAATGATAATACACGAGCGAATTATTTGATCTGTACTATTAATCGGTGGGCTGCGATACGATTTGACTTCGTTTCTTTGCTATTCATCGCGTTAGTGACACTCCTTGCGGTGATTGTACGTATCTATCAATCTCAGATTTCTGCAGGTGATATTGCTCTTATTCTATCATATAGTCTCAATTTGATGGGAACTCTACAACTAGCTATAAGGTAGATTAATTATTTTCATTCATTGTTCAATTCAATTATTGTTCAATTCAATTATTGTTTAATTTCAGACTATCCGTTGATGTAGAAACACAAATGACTTCAGTGGAACGAGTAATTGAATATTGTTCGCTTGATCAAGAGCCAACTATTCAAATATCATCTGATCATCGTCCGTTATCGAATTGGCCACATAAAGGACGAATTATTTTTGATAATGTTTCTCTGCGCCATACAACTAATGTAAAATCACCGCCTGCTCTTCGTAATATATCAATAACTATTGAAAGTGGCGAGAAAATTGGCATTGTTGGTCGGACAGGTGCTGGAAAAAGTTCCTTTATTCAAGCATTGTTTCGAATGGGTTATTTCGTTGATGGTCACATCAAAATTGACGATGTTAATATTGCATCGGTTGATTTGAATGATTTACGACGACACATTTCAATTATTTGCCAAGATCCTATTCTCTTTACTGGTACTATACGAAATAATCTTGATCCATCTGGTCAGTATTCAGACTGTGAACTATGGCATGCGCTCGAAAAGGTCTTTGGAAATGTTTGTATGTTTGATGTACAACTCTATTCTTCATTTTAGGTACAGTTGAAAACATTTGTGACGAAGGAAATGATGAATGGATTGCAATCAATAGTCGATGAAAATGGATCTAATTTGAGTGTCGGTCAAAAGCAAATATTATGTTTAGCACGAGCATTTCTCAAGAAGAATAAAATATTTGTAATGGATGAGACTACTGCTCATGTTGATAACACGTAAGTTGAGTATATTTTGATAAGATAAAAAAACGAATTTAAATGATCATTTAGTATGGATGAAATCATACAACGTACAATCCGTGAACAATTTCGTAATTGTACCGTTTTAACTGTGGCTCATCGTTTGCGTACTGTAATCAATAGTGATCGTATTTTGGTATTGAAGTCTATACTTTTTGTGTTCCTAATTATATGTTTCTTTCTTTTTGAAGGTGCTTGAGAACGGCAAGATACTCGAATTCGACAGTCCGCGTGTTTTACTCTTGGATCCTACTTCACACTTATCTTCGCTCGTAAAGCAAGCTGGAACAGCTGAAGTGGAATATTTACGAATGATGGGCAATGCTATTACTGATAATAAGGAATCTGAAAGAGTATAAACACTTAGCATCATAAAATGACTCCGTGAATGATTGTTATTTTTTTGTATTTGATAATAAATTAAACCTATTTGATATCCGTTCAAATACTGTTTCCAAGTAGAATGCTTTCTTCCCATTCTTCATCTCGACGAACGGGCATTTCCCACTGACTACACGATGATATCAGAACAGAAATAAAGATCAAATGGTCGAACGGGTATCAATGACATCATTCAAAACAGCACATTGGATTTTGTTTTATACTTATCATATTTTTCCCTTTCCATGTTTTTAAAAAGTGCTAATTTATGTCATAATAAATTAAACGATGAAATCAATCTTGAATGTCTTTATTCAAAAGAGAAAAGCAATATGACAAAATGATGTAGGTATCTATTCCTACCTTTGACTCACATCTTCAAGATTTATAGTATATAAATTGAGAAATTAACATTAAAATGGTCAATGCATTAGCAGTATATGTTCAAATAAACATTTGATCACTTGTCTCTGTGATCGAAGTAAAAACACGAGCTATGCTATCGATAAAAAACTATGGAAAACAAGGCTCCGCATGAGATGGGATGGGATAGATCTTTCATCCCATCCCTTCCGATGGGAATCATGACTAGTCCCATCCCATCGCATAGGACACGTCAAAAATAAAATGTCGTCCCATCCCATGTGGGATCTCTGGCACGATCACAAATCCAGTACATCCTGAACAAAAATGAATAGATTATAATTAAAAATATAGGGAGAAACTCACCAACTAAAAAACATTGTTTCATACTTCTTCCTGTAACAAAGAATTAATAAATAATAAGATTCATCAAAAGTTGATATTGGATATTCCTGAGTGTAACCATAGACCATTGAATCGAAAATTACCAGCAACATGATTAACTCTGAAAGGATACTTACTGCAGCGTTGAATCGATTTTGTTCGATTTTTTTTTATTTGTAGAAATTTAATTAGATAAAAACTAATCGCAATGAGATTTCTCTAGGAGAAAGAAAATATCTTACGCTAAGAATTTTTTTCCCGTTCTGTGTGATAGATTTTTTGTCCCATTCTGTATGGTAGAATCGAACTGTTATCGTATCCCATGCGACAAGAAAAATATCCCACTTAGTATTGACGCATCGTATTGGGACATCTAACAAAAATCCCGGCCATGTATAACATTGTGTATATAAGCAATTTACATTATTTCAATCGATCATACATTGGTTATTAACAGATTTAATCGAATACAGCTACTCAAACAAGTAACTTTGTTTTATTTAACCATATCATACAAATTCAATTACCCTGTTATTAAACAATCTAATTATGACATCAAAACAACTTACTCTTCAAAGCAACATGGAGCCAATTGCCGTAGTTGGTATTTCATGTACATTTGCTGGTGGAATCAATACATCTGAATTATTTTGGAAGGTTCTTAAAGATAGTATTGATGTTGGAAGTGAAATTCCGAAAGAACGTTTCGATCCCAATTCCTATGCTCCACTTTACAATACAAAAAAACCTTTGATACGTCGCGGTTATTTTATCAATAATGATGAACTTGACCATTTCGATCCATCATTTTTCGGTGTAACAGATGCTGATGCAATGTCAATGGATCCATGTCATCGAATTTTACTTGAAAAATTTGTTCATTTACTTGAAGATGCTAATTATCCTGTGGATCAAATGAAAGGAAGTCGAACAGCTGTTTATATCGGTCAATTTACTACTGATCATCCAACAACATTTTATCGTTCGAAAGTTGAAGATCAATCAAATTTATTAGGACCTAACATATCAGTATATAATGCTTCTGCTCGACTTTCATATCATTTTGACCTTCACGGACCTAATTTGACATTGGATACAGCTTGTTGTTCTTCACTTCAAGCTCTACATCTTGCTGTTCAAAGTTTACGAAATGGTGAAGCTGATTTTGCTGTCGCTGGTGGAACTAATTTAAACTATGCACCCGAAAGTTTTTTCATTTCATTAATCACCGGTGCTATTTCACCCGATGGAAGATCACGTTCTTACAGTGAAGATGCAAATGGTTATGCTAGGGGTAATTCAAATTTTTGTTTTTGCAATCATTCAGATGTTTTCTTACAATTTATTTTTTGTATAATTGTAGGTGATGGAGTTGCTATGGTTCTTCTAAAGCGATTATCCGATGCAATTCGAGATAAAGATAAAATCTATTGTGTTGTTCGTGATGTTATGGCTTCACACGATGGAAATGAAGAAAAAATGAATTATAATGTTCCATCAAGTTTTGGACAAAATCTTCTTCTAAAAGAAATCTATTCACGTAATAATATTGATTTGAACGAAGTATTTTATATCGAAGGTCATGGAACTGGAACACAAGTTGGTGATCCAATTGAAGCAAATACATTGGGCAAATTTTTTAAACGTTCACCTTATAATCCACCACTTTTAATTGGTTCTGTTAAAAGTGTTATCGGTCATACGGAAGCAACTGCTGGAATAGCATCTTTAATTAAAATTGCATTATGTATGAAATATCGAATGTTAACACCAAATATGAATTTTACTTCGCTCAATCCAAAAATTGAAGCGGAAAAATATAACTTGCATGTTGTCAATCACATTATCAATTTTCCTGAGCAAATGGTTACTGTTGGAATTAATAATTTCGGTATGGGTGGTAATACTGCTCATGCTATCGTTAGCGAATGGGTTGAAGATCATCCATATAATTCCTCAATACATATTGATGAAAAATTAGAACAAGATTTTGTTCTGACATTTTCTTGTAAGTGAAGCATATTTTGTGAGGCACGATGAGCATAATCTAATATATTTTTAAATTCTAGCAAAAGGTGATCAGTCATTGAAAATTCATCTCGAAAAAGTTTCCAAATGGCTTTCAACAATACCTAGACAATTCATCGAAAATGATGAACAATTATTTCTTACATACCTGAGTGAAAAACTTTTACTCAAACGAACAACTAATTTCTCACATCGATTATCATTCGTTTGTTCAAATTTCAAACAATTAGAACATCAAATTCAATCTTATTTAGCAGATCAAACGACAACACCAGGTGTTATTCTTTCTCAAGACAAACTTTTAATCGAACATCAATCAAATTCGAATATTTGCTTTATCTATAGTGGTCAAGGTCCTCAATGGTGGGCGATGGGACGTCAATTATATTTAACCGAACCTGTCTTTCGTCATTGGATAGACAAATTACATTTGGAATTTCTTTCGGTCTCCAATCATTCATTTTCACTTATCAAAGAATTAATTGAACCAACTAAAGAAGAAGATTCGCAAATCAATTTTACCAACATTGCACAACCATTAATCTTATCGGTTCAAATCGCTTTGACTAGCTTATGGTTATCATGGGGTATTCGTCCCCAACATATCGTTGGTCATTCAGTTGGTGAAGTCGCAGCTGCATATGTGGCTGGTCGTCTCTCATTAAACGAAGCAGTTCAAATTATCTATCATCGATCACGTGTTCAAAATTATAATACCAATCAAGGTGGTAAAATGCTTGCATTATTTCTTAGTGAAGATGAAACAAATAAATTACTAATTAACTGTCAAGATCGCATTCAAATAGCTGCTATTAATAGTCCAAAATCAGTTACATTAAGTGGTGATAAAGATGCTTTAGAGAATCTTTATAATAATCTTTCAATAACACAACCAAATGTTTATAAAACATGGCTGAAAATTGAAAATGCATTTCATAGTAAACAAATGGAACGATTTCATATTTATGAAGAACTTATCGAAAGCCTGTTGCATATAAAAGGAAATGGATATCATCAAGAATTTGATCAACTATGTTCTAATGCAATACTTTATTCAACTGTAACTGGAACTCGTATGAATGGAACCAGTTTAGATGGTGAATATTGGTGGAAGAATGTTCGAAATCCAGTTTTATTCAATGATGCTATTCAATCTATTCTTTCTGATATGACACAATCCAAAGCGATTCCAGTATTTATTGAAATATCTGCACATCCAGTCTTATCAGCAACTATTCCCGAATGTTTTCAACAATTCAGTCAATCGCATTCATTATTATCGAATCAAACACCAATCGTTCTTCATTCATTGAAAAGAAAACAAAATGAACAACAAACGATGCTCTCATCATTATGTTCGTTATTTTCATATTTTGGTTCAAATTTAGTTCATTGGAAGAAATTTTTCAACTCACGTTCATATTCTCAAATTTTATCGCAAGAACATTCTCTATCAAAATCAATCAATTCTCTTCTTGATACATTACCCAATTATTCATTTAATCATCAAATCTATTGGTATGAATCTAAAGATTCAGTTTTTGCACGACGAGCTATTAAACGAAAACATCACCCGTTACTTGGTTATCGTCGATGGCATCATGACACTCCCGTGCCAGCATGGAGAAATATTTTTACTATGAATTCAAATGCAACGAATCTATCTTATTTACTCGATCACAATATTCAAGGAGCTACTCTATTTCCTGCTGCCGCTTTTATTGAACTGATTTTTTCTGCTATCAATCAACTGTTACAATACGTATCAACCGAACAAAAATCTATTACCATACAAAATGTTCAATTTCTTCATGGTCTAGAATTAAATCCTGAAGTAACGATTCAATTAGAAACGGTGATTATTATGCCTTTCAAAGAATTCTATGTCTATAGTCGTCGAAAACAACCGAATGATTCTATACGTACTTCCGGTATCAGTGGAGATGATATAACAACAAAGTATGGAGATGAACAGTTTTTACATACCTATTCATCAAACGAGTGGACACTACATTGTCGTGGTTTAATCAATTTGAAAGCCGATGCTTCATTAATTAGTTCGATGTATGATATTGATTCAATTTTGAATCGTTTACTACCATCGAATAATCCGAAGACAACGATAGTAGCTCAAACTGAAACTGAACTTGACAAAATGTACAAATATTTTGAGATTGCTGATCATAAATTTGGGCCTCGATTTCGATCAATCAAAGCTTTATATCGATATCAATACGAAGCTTTGTTAGAACTTATGATTCCATCTGCACTTGCAAACGAAGAATATTTCGATCGCGATGAATATATTTGTCATCCAGCAGTATTAGATGCTTGTTTTCAAGGATTGATTCCACTTATTCCCGGAAATTTCTATGAACTTGGTATTCCAATCTCAATTGATGAAATCACCTTATTTGATAGAAACAAGCATCTTCTTTCAACTCAACAACAACTTTATGCTACTCAATCTGTGAACACATCAGTTAACGGAATTACGACTAACAAAACCTATACGACAGATATGCTCGTTTTTAGTCATTCAAATCAATCATCTTCTTCGGAGCCAATGGTGGCATTTCGTGGATTTAAAATACAAATACGTGAAGATAGAAGTGTGGATAAATCAATTTTTCAGAAAATCGAAGAAAGTACTTCCATTTGTAGTAATAATTCGAAAAAGATTGTTCCTGTTAATGAACTAATCGATCATCTTTGTGCATATCAGTATTGGAATACTACTCAATTGCATACAATTACATCTACAACAAATCCATATGAACAATGGATAATTTTCTGTGATCAGAAGCAACATATTTGCCAACAAATTGCTGAAATGCTAATTAAAAATCAAATTAAACCTGAAAATATAACACTCATTTATTCATCTATTGACAATGAGAAAACCATCAATCAACAATCATTATTTAAAGAAATAATTATCGATGATATATCTTCTATTTCAAAGTTAAATGAACTGAAGTCTTTCAAACAAAATCATCCGATCAATATTGTCTTCGGTTGGCCACTTGATTTGTCAAGTTTGAATAATAATGTGAGTTTTCCAGGTGAAGAACGTTTTGAATGTTCAACATTGATGCATATCGTACAAATAATCTATGAAATTAAATTCGATAAACATCCAAATATCTTTATTCTTACTGCAAATGCTCAACCTTTAAATAATGGGCAAAATTCAGAAAAATTTGATTTTCTTCCATCGCCAGTCATTGGTTTTGCAAAATCGATACTTAATGAATATGCTATCAATCGAATGAAACTAATTGATTTGCAATTTTCTCATTTGTCAGAAAATTTGCTTCAAATAATTCTCAATGAAATGTATTCAACCATCTATTCTTCATCAGACACTTGTCAAGATGAAGAAGTTGTATTAACTTCTTCAAATAATAACCTCATTCAACGATATATACCCGAATATTCAATCATTGATTCATCAAAAGATCGTATGATAATAAACAATCGACAACAAAAACTTATTCCCAAATTGAATAGTGATCATATACATTTTCAATTACAAGTGCCCAAATCTCGATTAATATCCGATCTAAAATGGATTTCGAATCCGACAAATGCAACTGGTCTTACATCGACCGAAGTCGAAATCTCTGTACATTGTGTCGGTCTGAATTTTCGAGATATTTCAAAATTACGTGGTTTACATCCTCATACACGTGGAAGTGAAGATCAATATGATAAAAATGAATTTATTGGCATGGGCTTTTCTGGAGTCGTCCTTCGGAAAGGTTCTGATGTTCATTTGAATATCAATGATCGAGTTTTCGGAATGATTACAAATCAGAATGTTTTTCAGTCACATTTGATCGTAAATGAAAATGATCTTGTACAAGCACCAAGTGATTTAACAATGGTACAACTATCGACATTGCCAACGTATATAACTGCTTTTTATTCTCTTCAAGATTGTTTGAAATTAAAATCCTCACAAATGATATTGATTCATTCAGCAGCAAGTGCAACTGGATTAGCATTTATTCAGTATGCAAAAATGATTGGAGCGAATATTATTGCAACAGCTGGAACGAAAGAAAAACGAGATTTCTTACGAGAAAAATATCAACTAGAACATGTTTATAATGACAAAGATTTATCATTTGTAAGACAAATTCGTCAAATTTATCCAAATGGTATTGATATTATCGTTAATTCTCTTTCGGGACTATTTCGAAATGAATCCTTAAAATTACTTGCACCATTCGGTCATTTTATTGAACTTAATCAAAATGATATCTATGCCAATTCGAATTTATCCTTATTTCCACTAAGAACCAATTGTACTTATCATGTCATCGATTTAACTTCTCTTCAAAAATATTCTCCGAAAAAAATTCAATGTTTATTAAAAGATATTGCGAATTTATGTAACATGAAACACTTAACGCCGATTACACCAATTCTAGAATTTGATGCATCACAAATAGAAGAAGCATTCTCCGTATATTCTCAAAGAAGACATGTTGGACAATTTGTTATCAAAATTGCTCAATCTGATCGAGAACTACTCATTGAAAATGATCCAACTGAAAAACAAACATCACACAAACATATGTTTTCAAAATCGGTTTGTAACGAAGGAACAATTGTCATTAGTGGTGGACTTGGTGGTCTTGGGATTGATATATCAAAATGGATGATTAGAGAACGTGGTGTAAAACGAATAGTTCTATTATCAAGAAGAGATATAGATCAACTCGAAAAGACCAGTTATCAGTATAAAGATTGGAGTTCTCTGCAAGAAATTGCCAAAGAAAATCATGCGCTCGTCGAAGTTATGAAAGCCGATATAAGAGATTATGATCAAGTCTTCAACGCTCTTTGTCATATTAGTGAAATAAAATCTTATCCAATTCGTGGTATTATTCATAGTGCAATGGTTTTACATGATAGTTTATTTCAAAATTTAACGAATGAAATTTTACATAAAGTAATGCAACCTAAAATTCATGGCGCATGGAATCTTCATCGTGCAACGGAAATCTTATCATGTCCTTTGGAGTTTTTTATTATGTTTTCATCAATACGAAATCATATTACGGGAGTTGGACAATCAAATTACAATGCTGGAAATAATTTTCTCGATTCGCTTGCATATTGGAGATTGAATTATCGAAATTTACCAGCAATTTCGATTGCTTTACCAGCTATATCAGGAGCTGGTTATCTACATAATCATGCTCAATCGACTATTGCATTAATGGAACAACAAGGAGTACATTTGATGCCATCGAAATATGTTTTTCAAGTCATTGAACAATTACAACATAATCAAAAAGAACAACAACGAATATTAGGTAAAACGAATCTTTTTAATCCAATTATTTTTTCTGTCGATTGGAAAACTTTACTTATCACGAATTTGCCAATAAAATTCAATAATTTTGTAAAACAATTTTCCAAGACGAATCCTGAAGAAACAAAGATTTCATCTGATGATAATAACGAACAATCAAACTTTGATCTCGATACCATAACCAATAAAATCCGTTTACGAATTTCCAAGTTATTCGGTGCACTGAATAGCAATCGAATCGATTTAGTTAAACCATTGATTCATCAAGGTATGGATTCGTTAACTGCTGTTGAACTTCGAACTTGGTTAGTAAGAGAAATGTCAGTCAATATTCCTCTTGTCGAATTATTACAAGGCATGTCAATCAATGATCTTGCTCTATATATTCAACAGAAAGCACTTCAACATCAAACAAATATGAATATCAATAAAAATTCTCGTGAACTATCATCGAAAGATATTAATAACAATGAAAATTCATTAGTCAATGCAGAAAGCGAAAAAGATCACAAAGAATTCGAAAGTTCGTATAATGGTACTTCACTTCTCTTACCACTTCATTATCCAGGAAAAAGATCTACATTATTTTGTGTTCATGATATCATTGGTCTTTCGCAAACATTCATTCAGTTTGCAATTCATATGGCGAATAGTTATCAGAATGAATGTCCATCGATATTTGCTTTTCGTGCCAGTGGTTATCAAACGAAAGAATCATTTCTTCAATCGATTGAAACTATGGCTGAACAATATATTTTTCAAATGAAACGAGTTCAACCAACTGGGCCATATTATCTACTTGGTTATTCATTCGGAGGACTTGTTGCTTATGAAATGGCTCGACAATTATATGAAAAACATCAAACAACTGTTCAATCATTGATATTAATTGATCCTCCAATACCTATTGAACATCCACTGATTCTACCAAATCAAATCAAAGAAAATCTATTTTGGTCATTAAAAACATTACAATTTATTTTTAATTATTTTACCAACGATAAAACTTCAAATCTTCTTCTTAATCAATTATTTTCTTCTCCTCAGTCATCGATCGAAGAACAAGTACAAATGTTAATACAACAAGCTTCATTAATATTGAAAACTCGTTTTCCTTTCTTGAAAGACAATGAAGAAATGTTTGAGATTATCAAAGCAAATATGATAGCAAAAGAATCTTATACATATCATACAGCAAAAACTTCGAATGATTTGATCAAAATCAATCATACAATTATGTTTACTTTAAAAGATAATCCTTCAAATAAAACCAAACATCAAATATGGAAAAGTTTATTACCTCATTTAATAATTGAAGATGTTGACGGAACACATCAGACACTTTTAGACAACCCAACTGTTCAGTTGATTATCGATCGATCAAAACAAATGTTTACTTATTGAAAATAAACTACAGACTCATTAACAAATATATTTTTATCCTTTCTCATACATAGTGTTCTATAATAAATTAATCGTTTTCATGCTACAGTTGACCGCTATAAAATAAAATTGTAAATGATTGTTTTTTTTGCTTGATAATAAACTAAAACGTGTGGATCAATAAAAAAAATTTTCTCTTTGCGTGCATTTTATTTAGCAGGGTATCCTTTGTTCTACTTAGTAAAATTTAGATATTCTACATAAAACATTTTTCACATGACTAAAAGTGGAAAAATGTTAAAAATGGCATC